TATCACCTAATGCAGCCTAACTGCTACTCCAAATAAGAAACCACAAACTCTATCACTTATGTTCTGTAAGCTGAAAGTAGTGAACTATCCATGAGTTCTGAGGCACACCTAAGAGGGAGACACACAGAAAAAGAACTTTTCCTGCCAAGTATTGTTTCTGAGTTTTGTTCATGTTGCCTTATACAATTACTTAGCTGAAAAACTATTGTTAAGTACATTTACCAATATTTCCAAAGGATTTTCTTCTGTAGGAATAGTTATCTAAACTCCTCTTTCATGATGGAGATTTTATTTTATTTTATTGCATATACAGTCATGCTAAAGAAGGAAGAATTGTCCCTCTCTAACATAATCTTTTTGAGTAGCTGTATGATGCCAATGGGTGCCTTCTAAACATCAATGCTGTGAACATTCCCAAGTTCTTTCCAATAATGTACATTAAGCGAAGGCTTATGCTACCTTCAGTGACAACACACAAATTTAACTTTTTTCAACTTACTCCCACACAGGTATGCTATGCTATGCAGACAGACAATAAAGTTAGTGTTAACAGAACTAATCCAGAAATATTTCTTCCTGCAGGTTGAGAAAACACTACCTGTTCTCAGGGTGCTTTTTTAAAAATTGCAGTATTTACAGAAGGAAACATCAGGAATCCTCCCAGGAACATCTACATAGGGATTCCATTCAGCAGTGCTACTGTAAATTTGCCAGACCAGCAGTCTAAACTGGGTTTTATGTAACAATCAAACAATGATTCATAGTATCATTCTACATTAAACATTTGAAAAGGACATTTTTTTTCACCTTTCCAGACTGCACCCTCAACCAATACGGTTTAATGAGGTGAACAAGTATTTGAAATAAAACCAAAATGCAAATATTTTAAAAAGTTTTTATTAAAATATCCTGTCCCAGTCAATGATACCAACTGAACTGTGTTCATGAAGTTATCCTAAGGCTATTAAGCGTAGTCCCTCTCCCGTCTTTTTAGGTATACACACAAGAATCAGAGCTCAGGTGTGGGGCAGCAGTATTCAGTGAAGTTCAGCAGAGATTTGTCCTGAACAAAGTATTACATAAACCTCCAAATCCATGTGTCAGCATAGTTCTGTTCAGAAAAATTATGCTGGTATACACTTACAAAAGTTTAGCACCCAGAGCATGCATGTTTATGACTGGGTAGAAAGATACATATATATAAAGCTTTTGTCTTGTAATGTGCATATGAACTGTACCACAGCAATATCCACCATGTCTACAGCTTTGTACAAAAATTACTGGGTTCTTTTTTCCACCCCACGTCAATTTTTTCTATTTGTAATCAGGTAAAGGTGCTTTTTTTTCCACATAGCTGAACAGTTGACCTGGCAGAAGTGTTGCAAAAAATGAGTTTGTATTTATGCTTATTTATTTTGTAAGCTGGAAGGGCTTTAATTCTTCTTAATTTTTCAGGAATCAAGTAAAGTTGAGCAAACTGCACCCAGTGTATTCTCCCTGCACAATGTATAAGTGTAATAAAAAAACCCAATATACACATTCGGATGGCCTAAAGCACTCATCCCTCTCAATTACTTCTCTTGAACAAATTCCGCCCATGGCTACATGTGAACAGAAGAGGATATGATGTAGTCCTACAACTCCTATGCAGCTCTGAACTACCATTAAGGAGATCCCAGTTCCAGTACTTGGCAACTGATAATTGATTGATTGATTATTCCTAGTACTTGATTATTACCATGTAATAATCAGCAAAGAAATGAGAGTTTTCTCATGCCAGACCAGGGCTGCTTTCTCCCTTATCTGTTCTCTCTCTGAAAGGCCATTTTTCTCTTTTTTTCCCCAAGTAAGACTACAAAATCCAGAGAATGAAAATGATAGAATGACCTCAAAAATACATCCAGCCCAGGCAAGGACATGCTACAGGAAGCATTCAGCTCAGTTTACTTCCTTCTGGGGCCTTCATGCTTTGGGATGACACAGCTGTACTGTACAACACCTAGCCTAGAGATCCCAGTCCACTAGTGCTTCAGAAGAAAGACACCTAATTGTGCTAAGTCTGAAATAAATTAGTGATCTGTTCTAGAGTATATTTTGTTTATTTTCAGGTAGGTCAAAATGAAATTATTAGCAATGTATCTGTTTACTGATATATACTTTTATTAGTGATATTACTTTAAATTCCTTAGCACCTGCACAGCAAACTCTCAGAACTGAATTTAAGTTTGGAAATGAGTTGCAGTGCAAGATGGAAGGAAGGACACACCTAAGCACTTTAGAAGCAAACAAACAGATTGCTTTGTCTAGTGTCTAAAATGCCTGTTTGAGTTCTTTCTTCAAAAAAACCCCAACCCATTCACAATTTAAAAAAATCCACCTTTCCTGGTTTTCCTAAAAGTCTACTCTGAGGTCACAGAAAACTGGAATGAAAACTTCCTTACTCTTACACTCTTGACAACATCTTTTATTTGAATGACTGGATCACCTAGACCAAATAAATCTTGGCTTTTTTTTTTCTTTTTCCTTAAAACATTTTTTTTTCTTAATTAGCACTAAAATCAAAATTTGTATTTTATGTATTTGCTTTTACTTACAAAAAGTTTAAGAAACATTTTATGGAATGAGAACATGAGGCAACTTAGAAGACAGTGAGGTTAAAACAAAAATCTATTTATTCTCACTCAACAAGATAATTCTAGTCACCCTTAATTTTATTGTAAACTCACCTACATAATTAATGACCTTTCAGTTTAGCAAGGGAATAAGCAGGCCATTTCCCCCAGTTTTCTAAGGTTTTGTTCAGCTTGGTGAAATGTAACAGCTAAATCTTCACTGACCAGTGAAGAGCAGAATAGAGCCTTGACATATGCTGTTACTTTAAAAACAAAGTAAGCACTTCTACAATCATGTCTTTCACTGTTGAAGGTGCTGATAGGTAAAGAATTTCTTTTCCTGCATATTAGAATGGATAAGGACACCCATGCATTAAATACAAGAAACATGCCAAAGAGAAGTGAGTTCATCACTGCAAGGGAAGTATGTCAATGGTCTGACTTAAAAGTACATTCACTGCTACTGTGCCAAAAGTGAGAGAAAGGGAAAACGGGGCGGGGGGGGAAGGGATTCTGCTAAGTTGCATCACATCTTGAGCAACATTGCAAGTTGGGGCAAAACCTAATCTTTCTTATATTACATTTTTGATCAACAGTCACAGAAAGTGGATTTAGGCCTTTTGTTACCATATGAAAAACTTATTAAAAGCAGCCAGATGAGATTTTTATTTATGTTATGCTGCAAAAAAAAAAAAAAACAATAGGACCAGACAGGCATGTGACTAGGTTATATTTTGTGCATGTGGATAGTTCTAAGTTGTATTTTATGTTCTGGTGCACAGGCTGGCTTTGCAAAACTGATTCACTGACTACTACAAGAACCTTGCCTGATTTACAGAATCATCTGCTGTTAAAAATCAGTGGCTATTTTATGCCTAACTGAACTTAAAATAATCTTTTGTTCCATAGATAGGCATATATTGCACGTAACAGCCTGCATACCATCTAAAAATGTGGGCTGATTGTCACCTTGGTGTTGGTAGGAAAACAGATGCCTTATCCATTACTCCACAGTTGTGTGAACAAAATGTATTTTAACATGAATTCTATTCACAGTTCAAGTGAATCATTTTCCTTTTAATTCCCCACCCCCAACTATTCATTTAAACACAGATGAGCAAAGCACTTTCATAAAAGTAGGTTCCAGAATAGACTAAAACTCCAGAATTTGCAAGTTTATTTTTGCAGATAGTAATGATAGAAAACAAAGAGCCAAAAAGAAAAAAAAAAGCCTTTATAACAGATTACATATCTGGTTATTTTAAACATCCTTTGATCATCCCTCCTCCCCCAATTAAAACAATCCCAAAAAAACCACACAAGGGTAATATAATTAATGTAATTAATTTAACCCAATCTTAATAAGAGTAAGTCCCTCACGACCTCACACTTTGGAAAACATTCTGTGTTAAGGTACACCCTATGCAAAGATACTTCAGAAAAGCTATTGGCCCACACAAATAAATAGCATTTCACCATGGTATTATCAGATAGCACCCAAAATATATCAGACTTAAGGCCGTACAGGCATTCAGACATGCTTCAGTGATAGCTGCATCTTCAGTCAAGAATACTTTATGACTGAGCAGCACCTAAACAGCATCTAAACTAATTCTGCCCACAGAATGCCTATATATTTAGATGTATGATGATGTTTCATCCTTAAAATTAGGTATTTGTCAGCAGTAGTGTTTCAGAGTACAAATGAGCTTTAATCGGTAAAAATACAAACACTATTAGCAGTGAAGGAAATGGGTTATTGTTGAATATTGTTCAATAAATACTTTCCAACTAAGTGCCTGTAAGTCATTCAGGCTGAGGCCCAGCCGTTTTTTTTATGGGACAGGTTTGTATAACAAAGAAAGGCTAGCCTCCTAAAAAAAAACAAAAAACAAAAAACAAACAAACAAAAAAAACCAAACCAACCAAACAAAAACAAATAGCAAGAAAATTTACTTTGCATCTTATGTACTTGCCTGACAGACTAACATTAATCTGGTTCACTTACTAAGTGCAATGACCTATTTCTTCTTTTTGAGAGGAAGGTGGCAGGACTGAAATTATTGAATATTGCTTTGTCTGCTTGTATTCCTACATGTGTTATAATGTGCATTTTTCATATTAACCTAAACATTTCTTGTTTCAATTAAATAAGCCTTACTGCACAAAGAGAGATTTCAGATTTTTATTCAAAAAATGCAAGAAAATAAAGGATCCAACATATGGAGGTTTTCAGAGTACATCAGTCATTCTATGGCAAATCCCCATAGCCTCAAAAAACTACGTCTTATAAAGGTCATACTTATAAATTAGTATTGGTGATGGGGAAACAAGCTTTGTATTTATACAAAAAATTACTGATTCTTTGCTAAAGCAACTAATTCTTACCATTTTTAGATTCTGTTAAGTCGTGGGATTGCAGTTTCTCTCAAGTTGCACAAGGAGAACAATCTGAAAACAGTTTAAAAAAAAAAAAAGAAAAAAAAGTGATTCCGACTGTCGCAGTATTTAATAGGTATTTTTTGCCAGCATACGAGTGGGTGAGCCAAGTATAAGTATAACCAATCTTCCATGGTTAAGATTAAAGTAACGCAAATTATTGCAGCCACATGTATGCTTAGATATCACAAGTCTCTGCACTTCAGTGGTCTGTAGTTAGCTTAAATATAGGACAAAGGAATCCCTGGTACCTAGATTTGCAGAACCCTATTCTATTCTTAGCACTTGGCACATCTCTGAAGAGCACTATATCCAATGGTTAACACACCTAAAAATCAGTCAGGAGGACAAAAAAACCACCACCCTATGCTTACTGTAAAGGTGGTTCATTGTTCCCAGGCATGCTACAGTGTGTTTTTTTGTAATCAAGAAACAAGTATAACAGTGTCAGGCTTTCACAATGTAATGGCCCAGAGAGTGGGTATTTTTGGAAATGGCATTGCATTACATAACCTCCAGTTTTCTCCCTATTCCACACACCCCCTACTTTAAACAGGGAGAGAAGAAGAAAAAAAAAAAAAAAAAAAGATCTTACCTCATTTAAATGGCACCTTAAATTACCACTCTCCTAATTGACTGAATTTGTAGGATACCACCTTTATCAATTTTAATATAGTGAAAAAAAATAAAGTTATCTTCCATTGTTTTTGTATTTATTACCTATAGTGTGTATGTATGCAATGATTAGTTATGAGTCATATGTTTACACACGAACACACACACACATACTGGATTTAGAACTGCAAACTCGTATATCTAAAAATGTACACAGAAACGTTTGAAAGAAAGCAGATCACTGTATGTTCACCAAAATACGGCTGTTTTGGTGGTTTGGGGTTTTGTTTGGTTTTGGTTTTTTCTCAAAAGAACCACCCAAAATGTAACTGCTGCACATGCAAAAATGCAGAAGGCTGTTGCAAGAATGACTGCTTTCTAAAAATAAACCCCAGCAGCCGGAGAGGAATCCAGTGTCAGGGCGGAGAAGAGGGAGATTCGTTTTACACGGAAGAAGAAAAGAGATGAAAAAGCCATCCTAGACCCTCGCATGCATGCTAAAAAAGCTAACTGCATTAGGTTCAAATATGTATTTTGGTGTCTGCGGACTGCAGACATAGAAAAAGGAAACGGTTTTAGAAAACCTCTTCTCGTCTCCCCTTGCACGTGTGCAGAAAAATCCCCAGCCTAGAAATACAGCCTTAAAGCACAAAGACAAAGAGTTAAATACATTTACTGCACGTTTTTCCATCTTCTTTAAGAAAGGCTGTTTGGAAATGTGCACCGAGAGGGGGGAAAGCAAGCTGCCGCAAAGTCCAGCTGAGGACAAAAGGAAATGAAAAGAAACAAGAGAGAGAGGGAGAGAGCGAGAGAGAGAGGGAGAGAGAAAGAGAAAGAGAGAGAGAGAGAATTAATTTTTAAAAAATAAGATTCTGTGGATTGGAATTGCATATACTTACAGACAAAAGCCCCCGCTCCCTGCTCACTTTCTGTCCTTTCTACATGATCTGAAACACAAATGTGGATTAAAAAAGGGCAGCATGCTACAGAAGGGAATTTATAGTTGGGGGAGTGGAGAGGGTAGGGGGTGTGGGGAAGAATGACTGCACCTCTTCCAAAGTGCAGG